TCGTAGTGATGTGCTTCTCCAAAGTATCGATCGCGAAATTTTCAGGCTTTCTAAATTGTTCACTTTATTATACTTTTTTTTGTTTTTAATGCGAATATCCACTATAATTCCTACTTCTCTTTTATTCTTCTTATCTGGAGTATATCATAGATTCATCATAGATTTACATGGAATGACATGCAAACAATAACTGTATATGTTTTCGATAGTGATTTAAAAATATCATGCATTTTTTACTTATATATTAAATTGGAATTTAAACATGAACTGATTCATTGTCTGTAGAGTTAACATGTCACAGAGTAGTAGTTTTCAACTCTACTGGCAGTGATGAATTGATTGGATATGATTATTCGCCTTAACATCGGAAGTTTACCACATACAGGTGATACAACGTAAAATTTATTAAATTTTTATAATGGAAGATGTGGGACGAATTTTTGGACGAGCTAAGAAACCCAGTAGTGTTTGTTTATGTGTCGATGTTGCTAACTTGGTGTATGGCTAGTAGCTCACAGTTAAGTGATTCTGTTGAGTTAGAATTCAAGGCTTATCGTTTACAGCAATATGATATTGTTGGTACTCCTCATGGCAGTCGTTCTTGGCAAGGTAAGCTATTTTTTGGGGATTTTTTTAGGAGATATGTTATTGCTTTTTAAGCGACATTATAGCTTAAATAATGTCCAGTCGAAAATCCGCTGAATAAGCCAATTTATTACAAATTACCTGATTATATATTATCTCGTTTGATTGTAATAATAACACACATTTCACTTAAGAGAATACATCAACTCGTTCTTTTTTTAACCTCCACATATGATAAAATAGTAATAGTTTTATTTGAATCGAGTTATAATTTGAGCATGATTTGGTTGCTGGTTACTTTGATATGTACATTCCTTTAAATTTTTAACAATAATCAGTTTGCAGTAATATATGAAGCCGTATCGTTGGATAGTAATGTTCTTAGGCGTTGTTTGATTGTAAATTGGCGTGATTTATTAGGTCGCGATTTGCAAGCCTTGTTTAGTCAGGCGTTTGGTGCTGTCCTCATTGTGTTGCCGGCCAACTTAGATGCGTTGACACCTTCAACAAAAACGGTGAGCTCTTGGTAGTTATGACCAGCATTTTCCGAGAACTACCATTTCATGTATCCAAATTATATTAAATCCAAATATTGGGTAATTTCAGATGGTAGAAGACAATAATGATAACATCATCATTTGTTTATATCTTGATCCCTAGTATATAAAATTTTTATCATTCAAAATTTTCAAAATGATAATTAGTGTAGTATTTCATTATCACTATTGCGGTTGATATATTAAAACTTGGATTTAGGTTCTCTAGGATTTTACAATTCCTGAATTAGTTGCAGTCCTGAGTTGTGCCATGTTGGATCTGAATTTGAAAAACAAATAATACCAGTGATTGCAGAAGTTGGCATCATTAGAAAAAAGTCTTCTATATTTAAATACTGATATAGCAGTGTATGTAGTACAACACCAACCGAAATTGCAAGCCCTCATCACAGAAGTAACGGCATTTTCGAAAAGGTTTCCCATAATTATTGATTTCTTTAACATTCTTTTTCTTTTTTTCCAATCAAATAAGTTAAATTGCATTTATTTATATTGTTTGATTAATAAAACTACAGAAACATTCAGCATGATATGAATTTTTCATTTATTGAACAAGGATTTTCAGATCCTCGACTGCTGTTCAGCAACTGTTAAATGCAGTAAGCGCAAATATCTTCCAATTTTCATCATCAGCATCAGTTTCGAATAATATTGTGGTACCAAAACCGGCTAATGTTATTGTAAGTTTTTGTTATGTTACCCAAATTATGTTTATAAGTCTTTCAAATACATTGATGGTATACAGTTTCGTTTTGATCTAATTTGTGGTCAGGAATGTTCTAGTCAGTGTTTAGTCTACCATGACAGAGGTGTATATAAAAGATCTCAGTCTTTATTCAAGACTATTCTTAATCAGTTTCCTTGACATTACCTTCACGAGTGTTCCAAATTTGTCTTTGTATCATCATTTCCCTTTTATCCTTTCGGTTCTCATAGACCTCCCCTGATTATATCCGTCGTGTTGTATTTATTTTGTCCTTCTTTGGGTTTTTCAACTATTTCATTTCATGTTTAATGAAATATAAATCTTTTCTTCGGAAGGAATATTCTTCCATTGTTATGGTTTTAGAGGATAATAGTAGTACACTAGAATTAAAAGCAAGGAACATTATGCTAAATGCTGCAAATTAATTAGAGAGTGAAACTCCATTTTAAGGGGCACCTTTGGTCAACAGATCGAAATTCGCCAGTAGTTGTTGTGGCTGCACATTATGATAGCCATTCAGCAGTACCAGGATTGGCAATTGGTGCAGATGCTAACGGAAGTGGTGTAGCAGCACTACTCGAATTATTGGCAATCTTCTCCCGCTTCTATGGTTCTGTAAGTTTACACTGTTTGTTGAGTATAGGGTGCCCAGCTATGTTATATTTATGACCGTTCTTCCGCTATCCTGCACTCAGTAACTGCCGTCGTTTTCGATCAACCCGTAGAATTGAAATCGTGTTTGGTTTTGGTAACACGATTCTGTTCACGGGTAGATTGCTTACGTACAGTGTACTAGCTCATTTTCTTCAATGTTATTTGCTTGTACGTTTTTAATTTTGGTAACACGATTTCAACACTTGTCAAGTAGGAGCTGCTTTTTATTTTTCTGTAGCCTTTTTTTTTTTGTTTTATCATTGCCTTCTTTTTTTCTTTTATGAGCCGTGAGAATAGTCTATTACTTTTTTGGATAAGATATTCTTCTTCTTTCTTTCAGAACACGATGAAACCTAAATATAATATGATGTTTTTGCTTACTGCTGGTGGAAAATTCAATTATCAGGGTAGTCGCCAGTGGCTAGAAGAACATATTGATAAACAGACCGGTAATTATTGCTTAACAAATTAGGATTAACTCCATTTACTCGAGTAAATTAGAGGACAGAGAGGTGTACCACGGAACCGAAAAAAATATCTAACTTTTAAAGTTTGAATATTGAAGATTTGCTTAATAAGTGGAGAGCTAAGTTTGTGGGATTTTCCGATTTGAAATAAAAAATATATGCGTTACAAAACTGTTTGCAGAAACAAAGGTCGAACTTGTCTTATGTCTTGATTCCGTGGGAAAAGATAGCAGCCTTATAGCGCACGTGTCAAAAATGCCTGCTGAAACATCTCCTGTTGGACGGTTTTTCCTACTGCTGAAAGATGCTGCATCTCCAAATCGAACTATAGAAATTTTATCGAAAAAGATCAATCTGAACGCCGATGTACTTGCATGGGAACATGAAAGGTGAGGGTATAATTTTCCGTGCAAATATAAAAGTGCCTAAAATTTTCAGTAGTTGATGGAAAATAATCATTACAAAAAAAATCATTCCCACTCCCTTAAGAGAACTAATTACTGATGATTTAGCATGTACAGTCTTAACAACTGATTTACGTTACTAGCTTTTACGTGAATTTGAAGTGAACCTCCCCAATCATTTTATCTTTACCAAAAATTAGTCTGGACCTCCCTTTCGGACGAATTTGATTTATCTATAAATCATTCCATTAGAATTTTCAGATTTTCAATTCAACGTTTACCCGCTCTCACGCTTTCACACTTCAAATCACATTCTGATTCTGGTCGAAGTTCATTTCTGGATACACTATCACAGGTCGAGATGGATGTTTTGGAAGTATGGACTTACTATTCTTACCGAATTTGTCCAATTTTTTAATTTATTAGAGTTAATTTCAATGACTTTTGTAAAAATTATGAAATCGCGGATAGTCCTCCAAGGGCGATATTCTTTCACTATGATGCATATTTGTGTAGTAATGCTGGTTGCGCCAGAAAACACGAGGGATAGAAGGACGAAAATGTTTTGTTCGCTTATTGTCACTAGTGGTTCGGATTGATTAGCATATGATAATATCTTTGTTTTTGTCCAATGAATCATATCGTCGAATTTCGAGTAATTTGTAGGCAAACGTACGAACTATCGGTGAAGCTCTTTTGATTTATGTGTTAAATTTACCAAACACAAAATGTGCGCATGAAGAAAATGTTTCAACTTGTTCAATTTTGGCACCGACAGATGTTAACAGAAAACGATTATCAAATTGGTTGCAGCAATTTGGAAGTAAATCTCGTTCTTTGGCTGCTAACAGCGAATGGCTTGTAGCTAATCTTAGAGATACTGTAATCAGGTATGTTATGTTTATTACGGGAAAAATGATACTAATTTAATATGAAAAGAACTTATGCATGGATAGTTGCCTGCGACGACCTTTAAAGTATTAAAATTAAATGTTTTGAATTTGGCTGAAATTATTGGGTTTTTATACAGTACAATATATAACAGTTCCAATTATACGTTACATATTAATTTCAGGTACACTTCTGGACAAACTGTCGTGGAACCAGTTTCCTTAGCAGACGTATCACTTTATGGTGTACTCGAAGATCGCTTAATGGCACACCGAGCGAAACCGGCTGTCTTTGAACTTTTATTGGCAGCTGTTATAGGACTTTATTTATCAGCATTATATTTTATAGCGCCAGTGTTGCAGACATCTGTTGAAGCTATGCTTGTTAAGCTGAAGAAATTATGATTTAATTTGTGATCTCATTTTGACGTATTGATTTTTTGTACAGCATGGAATATGAGTTTATTCCTCGAAACATATTAATAGTCAAATATGGTTCTATGTATTGATGTATAACTAATTAGATCATCGTTATACATATCTCCGGCAAATACCGGTGTCTCCCCTGATCGTAGTTATACCTATAGTGCCTACCGGTTACTGTGTTTAGGTTGCTATTGGTAGAGTGGCATCAGAAGCAAAGATTTTCCTTGTCTGAATATTACCGAAAAACAGCAAGATTCGATGCAAACAACAGATATTAAGATGAATTTCTGTGTGACGTGCCGCACACGTTCAAGTAATATATTGTGTGGTGTCCAGTCAAGCCACAAATTTAGTTTGTGTTCTACATTTGGTTCAGATTCTAGCAGCGCTTTATTGGCTAATTCTACTTCCACGGCTACTATAAAGTACCAAATTAGAAATTTTGCGAATGGTATATATAGGTTATCTAAAATATTGAAACTTTCTGATCTAGCAGAAATTATTGGCGAGAATGTGTTCAGGTAGGAGAATAATGAAAATGATGTATTTGGCACATACAGGTTATACTAAATAAACTATTTTTAGGCTTCTCTGTAACTCTAAGTAATAAATTCTGCAAAAGAAAAAACAACATCCATTTTCGTTTATGATTAATCAATTTATCAACTACCGTGAACTATTTCTTTCAAACTTACAAATTCTTTTGTATTTCCTGTAATTTTGACTGGTCACGGATTTAACAAACAATTAACATTCACGGGAAGCAAACATTAATTAATCTCCATTTTCAAATGCAAATATTTTAATTTTATTTTTGCTTGAAGTGCATTTCAATAATTAATATAGCGTACAAGCAGATAATTCGGAACAAATGTACCATTAAAATCTGGAATCTTCATGTAGTCTTGGATGTTTCAGCAATTATTTGTTTATTAGGAGAATTCTAAAGTTACATTTGAAATTACAGTTTATCAGATCATTCAAGGTGTCAAATTATTCAATGATGTGTTTCTCGGTGATTCCATTATATAGATTAAATATTCTTTTTACATTTATTTTCCAAAGATTCTGTATTTTATTGGTGACTTCCTAATCCTCTTTTCCTCCTTTTAATTTTAAATAATTTGATAGAATTAGTTTGATTTCTCGAATTTCAATATTGCCTTAAATTATTGTTTTTTTTTCTCCTTCCGACATTTCAACTCACAAAGGAAAATTCAAAAACTTCTGATAAATTATTGATGATACTTGTCAAGAGTTTGTCAGTTCTATAAATCGAATTTCACGGCACCACTGATCGTATTTGTTAATTATTCTCAAGCAATGTGAGATGTCAGATACAAATTGTTCTACCGCAAAAATTTACCAGTCTTCATACCGACGTGCAATCTTTTTTTTTAGATTACAGTTACGCAAATTTATTACTTAACGTATTGGCAAACGTAATTCGCATATGAAGAGGCTAAGTTAGTTTAAAGTGAATTTTATTTTATATATCCAATAAAAGCTGTTAATCACGAAATACAAAGAATCTTATTAGGAATACAATAATTCAGAATACAAAAAAAAAGAAAAAAATTGAATACGTTGAAGTTGTAGAACCATTGGTAATAACACATTTAAATGATCGAAAAGAAATTGTTTAATTTATATGCTTTTCATTTTCACAATCGATTCAGTACCATTTATCACTAAATAATTAATTTCCACAGTAATATCCGTCTCTTATTTGTGAGATACGTATATCATCCATTTTTCAAAGTACTAATTCAACACCATTACACGTTGATCACAAGTTTAACTTTCACAACCCTTCTCCTAATTCCGGTTAAATCAATAATCTTTCGGTCAATAGAGGAATATGCTCACCGCTATAATAATTTCTTTGATTGTGTCAAAGATGTGATGCTTTTGAAAACAAAAATTTCTGAATTTTTTTACTACTTTTGTTTAATAATTTCCCAAAAATTTATAAATGATCAATAATTATTAACCTAGCAGAAGATTTGAAACACAATGAATAAAAATTCCATAAAGAAATTATTATAGCGGTGAATTCCATCTCACCGCTATAATAATTTCTTTATACGTAAAATTTTCAGAGGTATGGAATGTCACTCAAAAACTATCAATCAATTGACGTTACTATTATTTATTTGAGTAATGACTCAGTTCGAATTATTTTCAGTTCTTATCCTGCTCTAATAATACTTATCTCTTTGGTGAATAAAATGAACCTAACAATCGAAATTTTCAAGAAAACCCAATAAAATTCAAAGGAATTTCAATTTGTACTTCGAAAAAAGTGCATTTCCTGCAATGATTGTTGAATTCATAAACTTCTGAGCTTCATCCAATAAAATAGTTAAACGATAAATACTTTTTTACCTATTACAACAGATACAAAAATCCTTTTTGTTTTCCGAAATTGCAACCAATTTTATTATGTAGAACACTAGTAACAACTATACATGGTACAGTAGAACGCACACCTGATCAAAGGCACAATCAGCGAATATGGCTTTAATTTCATTATGCTTTTGAAGAAATCATTTGGATCAAACCCTGACGCACAAATGTTGCTGGTACATTTAAATTGTCGTATAGATCGCTATACAACTGCTTCAACTCGAATAGATTTTTTGATGGCTGAAAGAGAAATGAACGTTAGGAATTTAGAAATAAATTAAGAAATAAAAATGCTTCATAGAGAAAAGCATCAATTTATTTGATTTTTTATCCAATTTTAGGAACTAAAAAATACTTCTGCTGTAGTCTTCCCTGAAAGCTTACTTCAGAAATCACATCGGCCTGAATATCCTGCGTAATATTTTCAAGAAGCTTTGAACGAACCAGAGAGAAATATCCACGAAATTCACTCTAAAGCAACACAAATTACTTGAAGTTAACTTCCCTCAGAAAATGAAAAATCGATATAATTTTAAAACTGAGACTGAATATATATGTGGGACTTTTTTCTTCAGTTACTCAATGCAGTATAAAAATGGTTATTCCAGTAGATAATACCAGTCAAATATTCACTCAGAACCATAAATAAAGCATAAAATATAAACAAAATCATAGTTTTCTCACTTCTCTTCCCGGTACAATCATAAATGCTGCAGTCTTCGCTATCACACCATATGCTGGTTCTGCATAATCTTTGATTAACTAAAAATGTTACATTTAGTTCAAATCAATCAATAAATTTGTATGATTTAAAAAATCAGCCTGCATTCTAAAAATCAATTTTATGCATACCAAAAGGATTTCCAGTCTAAACTTCAACTCTTAAGTTTAGACTGGAAATCCTTGCAAACTGTTTTTAAATGGTAAAACATTAGCATATTATTGAAACTTACATGAATTTAAATGTTTTTGACTCAGACATTCCTGAATTGGACATGAGATTTCAGAAAAAAATCTATAATGTTCTCGCTGGATTATAAAATCTGTATATCGCAATTTCAATTCTAAATTTCGAAGAAAAAAAAATTATTTCAAACCTTTCTCAGTTGACTAACTGGTACATTTTGATAACGCATCTCATCAATCAAATAAATTGACGTAACGCCAGCATGATCACCATCACCTATGATCTGAACTCGATAAACTTGATTATCTTTGGTATCGTGGAAAGCGTAATTACAATCTTTTATAGGTTTTTCTACCGCATAATCCTTTTCATGACCATAAGACAAGTAGTGATGGCTAAAATATACAACAGTAGCATGCTTTGCACGAATCTTGTTTCAAATTATGAAGTTCACGTTGAATACAAATTCTCTATCTTCTCTTGAACAGTTTTGTTCTTAAATAAGGTTCAAAATGAGACGATTAAATTTTATAACATAAGACAAGTAGTGATGGCAAACTTATAAACTGCTCTTTTATGTACAGTACTCACCGCATCTTCTTCTCAAATGAATTATATGCAAGTTCAATAGAACGAAGTCTAAAGAATGCCTGAATTCGAAACCTGTCCGGTGGTTCATCAATTAATACAATATTTATCAATATAACCTGAATAAAAGACGAAAATGATATTCAACAAAAAAAAATCACAATCTGTTTTTTCCCACATTTCCATTCTTCAGCATTTACTCAGTCTAATGTGTCAAAAAAACCGTTTTAAAATTTTTATAACAATAAGATAGATAATAATAATGTATTATATAAGCAAAATGAGAGACTTCTAGTTTCTTCCCAGGAAATAATTATTTAGACTTGGCCACCATTGAGTGTATAGATTGCGGGGAAATATGGTCTCATTCAATTCACAGTAACGTATTAGTGGAGAAATGTAGAGCAATGAATACAAAACTATCTGGGATTTAATTAATTCATGATTACTTTAAAAACATATTGAATTTATGTCTTGTAATTAAATTCAAAAAAATAATTTGAATTTCTCATTATTTTATATAACAATAGTTTAAATAAAAAAATGATACAAGTTTTTTAAAGCATATGTAGATAAAAACTGCAAATAAAACTTACTGGTTTGAAAATACTCCCGGCAGATTCGGTAGTCGAACAATAATCCGACATAACATGAGTAACTATTTTAACTGATTCAAGAAATGACGGTAAATAAGGCGATACGTTTGGTTCCTCAGGTCTTTTGGCACCATGTGCCAAAGATATCAAAGCTCCTGGTCAAAAAATATCAGAATATATTGTTTTTTTAAAGAAAAGATCTAGGCAAATATCTTTATATTAATTTATATAAAAAAAAATTAATGACTGAAACCATTCAATTCGTGTAAATTTCAAATATGCTTCAAAAACGAATCTACAGGTTATCAATTGATTTAGCTGCTGAATATTTCAATTTCTTCCAAAAAACATTTCATTTTCTGCAATTCCAAGTCCTTATATTATTTTCGTTATGCAAAAGTATTCATACTCCAGTACCTGCCAAATAAAATTTGCAACAAAAGACATCCTTGAACTTCGTTATCAGCTTAACTGTAAGCTGACATGCATTCACTTTGATGCCTTTTGCACTTAGTTTTTCGAGCAATTCCTTTTGAGATAGAGGTTTTCCTGCCTCTCTTAATATGTCATAGATCTGAAAACAAGAAAATTTCAGCTTCAGAATTAAAAATTTAAAAATGAAGAAGAAAAATAAAGAAGACTAACTATAGCTGCTGGTACATTGCCATTATCGGAACTCAAAGACATCGGCCGTTCATTTTCATTTTGAGTACTACTTGTCCAATAATTTGGTAGATGAGCAAACGGAAAAGTTGATTTTTGAAAGTCTTTCTGGATATCAAGTATCTGGAATAATCATAAAGGCTGATATTGGTAAAATAGAAGCAAAGTTTTAATTTGAAAAAATCATGCCTAAAATTCCATCAAATTGTAGATGAAATTCTTCTGACATCTAGCATATTATATCAAATTAATGGAGAATAATTTCAGTTTAAAAAAAAAAAATGTTGAATATTAAATTTCAAACTAATAAAGTAACTAACACCGTCTCGAACTGTGAGTTCTGGATGCCTACCATCCAAAAGTAATTTCCGTATAATGTTCTCCCATGTACCCTCCGGATATTTTTTGGGATCAATGTATCGGCCATCCTCTTCATAAAAAATCTCCGATAAATCGGAGACCTAAAATAGAACAGTGCACATATGTTATAAAAATAAAGAAAAACGAGTTTCACTCATATCATAATTAGGATAATTAATTTGACTTAAAAATGAACAAACAAAATTTCTCTACCATTTTTGAAATGTCTACACATTCAAACTTATTCTTAAAACAAAATAAAAAAAATCACTCCCAACATTTATATTCTCGAACGTAAGATACCTTGAAAGAACCTTTTGCTCGCACGAAAGAGAGCACTTTATCACCCAAAACCTTATATGGCAAATAATCATCTCTCGACCTTATTGTCGAAACCAATGTTGGCCCTTTCCAATATTCGTATTTATCGTCCGTCTAGATAATGCAAGTGAAGTTATGCGATAGGCAATAAAATATCTTAGATGTTATCAAATTCAACTTCTACAAATGTAACAAATACAAAGTTAATATTTATGCCATAAAAATATCTTCAATACACAAAGAAATTGCATTTTAAATAATCTCAATTTCTGAATTAAGAAATACACACTGGAAGCAATTTTCAACGCCTTTCTTAATCATTCGCTTAAGTTTTCAACTATTCATATTCTATCTAATTAATAATGCCGGTCGAATTATACATAATTTATTGATCGAAATGCCTGTGAATTCAACTGAGTTCCCTTAAATTTCAACAACTTTACAATTAATCACATAACTAACAGTTGGGAGGGGAAATTGTGAATTGTGATGGTAGCTATTAGTGGTTGTTCCAGTTTTCGCTAACGAAGAAGTAATGGGATCAATAGGATGATTTTGAAATTCATATTGGCGTTGATTAGAACTGAATGAATCATGAGAAATATCCTTTTGCACCATATCTGACTGCAAAAGGGAGTGAAAAAATATAAAGGAATATCCTATCGAGAATATTTTGCGTCCAAGATAGAAGTACATCATATTTGACAAATATCAAGCAGGAAAGTTAACTAAATCACATAAAACTATTCTCATTATTAGTTTAATCCCAACAGAGTCCAAAAATGCTTTATATTTACAAAAATATGGGATGGAAATTGAAATGGAAAGAAAAAGCGTGATAAATAAAAAAATAAAGTAAATTATTTACCTCAGATAGCGGTGATTTGTGAATCATACTATCGATAAAAATGTCATTTTCGATTTCTGTAAGAAAAATTAATAAAAATGCAGTTACCGATATGTATATTAGGAATCTTTCTCTCGTCACACAAGGCCCTGACAAGAAATGCAAACAAACATCGTCATGGTGGAATCTTACCGTGAAAAATTGTAAAGTTCTACTAATTACTAATAAATGTTTCACACAGCAATACTTTGGATTGTAGAGGATTCAACAACCTATTTAATTACAGTACAATATAATTATAATCAATGCAAAATTACGGATTTCTTGTTTCAGATTATTTGCAGGTTTGTTCTTAAGCTTCGCCGATGAATCATTTATTGCTAGATTTCCAAATATTTCAGCGCAGTTTTTATATAATAATTATATTATTGGATTAGAAATTTAATGAACTTAATAACCATCAATATCGTCCTCGTCGTCAATAACTGTTAGCAAAAGATCGTCCGCTTCAAGTTTTGTCACCATAACACGTCTGTATAAACTATTTTTTAGAAACCCATATAGATCTTGAATTTCCCTTTCTTCTGCATTAAGTAAACGACAAATCTGAAAAACAAACGAAAAAAAGTACATTAAGTTAAATACAAAAGCACATTTAAATTTACTACCGAATAATTTGACAAGCTGTAAAGGTGGTTAAAGTTGCACGAATAAAAATGCTAACCTCAGTACTGTTAAGAGGAACACCAAACTCTTGTAAGTATGAATTTTCCATTTCAGAAAAACTCATTTCACCGCCATGTCTCTCAATCAATCTTATTAGTCGCCTTTTACCCTAAATCAAAGGAAAAATCATTTATTCACTTGATAAACTTGAATTTCAAAAATCAAAATTTTAAACTTAAGTTGCCAAAATCGCCAAAATTTCACTTCATAATTGTTGGTTTTGGATGAGATTCATCTTTAATATATTACTGCAAATACAGTGACTAATGAAACTAGAAGGTGCAAAATAACGTCCAATTACTCTCGAAAACTTTTAAACAAATTTAAGAAGAAACACAGCAATTTTGAGGCAAATTAAAGTCCGGCGATCTGAATCAAATAAAACTCGTGAATTACATTTTGATGCAAGTTCTTTCGAAAACTATGCATGGTTTTTTCATGTTATAGCGAGAATCGGTAACGAATTTTTTCGTTTTTGATTTTCTCTGATTCAATGTAAATGGGCTATGAACAACAAATTGAAACTGAAATTAGAAGATTGAAAATTATAATACGGAGATAAACAAAAACCTTTTGAGATTTTCCAACTCGATTTTTTCGAAGATTATGCGGTTGCAATTGGATTCCTGGAAATATTCGAAAAAAACTTCAAATCATAATTTTTTATCAAAGAAATAACCAAAGAAAGTAACGGAATAATCATTTTCTTTTCTTTTTACATTAAATGGAATAAACAGAAATTATTAAATTTCTAGTCTTAATAGTGAATCGAGAAAAAAATTTTACATTTCTTTCAATCTTAATAACATTAAAAATAGACGAAAACAACTGGTAAGGTAGAGCAATGTAGATACCCTAAAATGAAGAAACCTGAACTTGACGCGTCGGAATGACTGTCATAACTGCAACCTCGTTGAGCGGAGATGGAACGATAATTGATCGAAGGTACAATAAGTTCTGACTGTTGGTTTGCAAAATCATGGGATAATCCCATATGTCTAAAATAACAGTCAAACAAATAAGTGAATGCAATGGAATTGGTTGAATAAGTGGATTTCTAGACATAACCGTAATGTCTAATTACGACCATTTCACTCGGCAGATCTGACACGTGAGTCCTTCATCCAAAAAAACACTCTTCTCAATCGACAATTTGAATGAAGTAGCTTTGCTGCCAATCGGCTATTTGAATGTGATAGTTCGATTAATTACAACCAGAAACTTCGAGAGTAAGTCCGACATAAGCACAATTCAATAACCTTTAACTGGTAATAGTTAATTAAGTACAGACCTTGTAAAGAAAGAACTTGCTTGTTGCACACTTTTGGGAGCAGTGCTCGAAGTTGCTTGAGGTTTCGTTACTATTTGTTTTGTAGCCATAACTTGTTTCGCAGTCACCTGAGATCCTTTAGGAAGTTTTTCAGCTTTAGTAAAGTCAGGAAAAGTTGGTGCGTTTGAAATCGACGGGAATGTTTCTAAATCATTTCATAAAACTATTATACAGCAACTTTTTATCACTAATTGAAGTTCCAAAAATATCTGAAGAAGTCTGAATAATATACTTAATTGTGAAAAAAGTTAAAAAATCAAAGCATTTCGCTTAGAAAAAAAGAATTCGGCTCTTTACAATCATGTTGAATAGCCGAAATTTCCATCTCCTAGAACAATTGTAATCGATTACCTTCCAGTATGATTTGAAACTGGAAACTAATAAAGTAAATTATAGAGAACACGAAAAAAATAAAAAAAGTCACACCTCTTGCATATTTCGTAGGTACTGATCTTCGTCGTAATTTGGCATTTCGAGGTTTTGTATTGCGAATAAGACGCAGCATTTTACTAGTATTTTTATCACCGGTGGCGAAATATCGCCCATTTTGATACATAATTCCACCTTCTCCTTGCATAGCCGATGAAACAAGAAGTGTTTCCAAATCATTGAAGCCATAATCTTTTGAATTCAAATCTTTGCCATACATATCTCTGAAAACAATTCCGATTTACATCACTGTAAGAATAGAGTGAATATTTTTAAAAAAGAAAAGATTCTTCCAATAAATTAAACGGATAAGAAGTACAGAAATTACACAATTAGTAAAAGCAAAAAGCATGGACAATCTATGCAAAAAAAAAGGTTAAAGGCAAAGAGCAAAAAATTATGGTTGCAAAGAAAAACTCGGTAATTTAATTCTATTATCACTTAATCAAAACTTTCATAAATATTTGTTTGAAATATCCATGTAAATTTGGAATAATGATAAAATTCAGCTGCAACTTAGATTTACCAGTTAATTTTGATATTTTAATTTGTCTCACTGGAAAAAAAACAATTAAAACAAACATTCACTACATAATTACCATATCGCAGTTAACTAAAACTCCTAAAACTCTGCTATTTGTTTACTTAGATATACCCACTTATGTGAAAAAAAATACTTGTATATTCGACATAAATCATTTGCAGTGCATCCATTTTTCTCTGAACCAATCACCGCAACGATGCGAATCTTCAACTCATCTAATGTTGACATTTCTGCTTCATGCAATTTTCTCTCTTACTGCAATACAATTGATATGTAAAATTATTATGATAAATTCACTGTGTCACCTGTAATGTATGACACCTTTTGCTAATGCAGTAAAATTATGAAGTAAAATGAGAAAATTTAACAGGATACTTGATCAAAAAATTAAGCGACAAAGTAATGTAAAAATCCATAAGAGTCTCCATAGGATATAAAATTTACTGTAACTTACAAAGTTAAAAAAAACTGTAACATAGAAAGAAAAAAAAAAGTCAAGCAAATAATTAATCATATTGATTTCTCACTTCATAAAACCCACCCGGGTCATACGATACTTTTTAATAACAGAATAAAATACTATTGGTTTCAATCAAAACAGAAAAATTATTCGTCATTGGTATTCTCGTCTTACTATGAAATCATTTACTCTCAACTTTCCATGTCACAAATTATCACACGTTCTTCACGCATCACACGTCTTAACTACTAAATTCCATCATTTTGTAATTCTCTCCGACAACAAAACTTCCCTCCTTCCTTTTCTCAATCCTTGCCAAAACTGTAAAACGCTACTGTTGCTCATTTTTTAACTATTTTATCCCTAAAATCTGCCATCTTTCAAAAAGCCAACTACTAATCAATGCATGCTTTCAATTCTATCAATCATTAAATCTCTCTTCAATGACGCTTTCATTTCATCATC